AGAGTCAAATATAGAACGTCCAATTTTCAATTTGAAATTTGCCAGATTAGTAATGTTACCTTTGAGACGGTGTGGTAGCCCAGGAGTGAGAATTACTCCCATAATGGCATATCATTTGAAAAAGTAGACAACCCAAGGTATTGAAAGTGGGATATATTTAGTCTTTTTTAGTAGCCACTTGTGAGGAGAGCAATCTCGCCACATTGCATTGGAGAAGCCTGGTTGCTCGCCTGTTGCTTTTGGATTATGGCCCCATGTTAAAAGACATCTTTTTCCCCCGCAGGCTTATTCTTGCCTTTTCTGCCCAGTGTTCGGTAGATTCTGTGACAGATCCCTCTGTCTTGGACTGAACTTACCGTACGGCTCGTTCGTTTAATTCGTTTTCCTCGTTACTGTGGACTCTATGGAGTTCCCTTTTTAGGACCGAACAAAACTACCGACCGGCCGGCCACCCAGTAGAGAAGTGTGCTGCTGATTAACCTCTTGGCCCCATTCAAACGTTGAGGTTAACCGCAGACACCTCTTGATTGATACAGTAGTTGGGTGGCCGCCATTCGTATGCCGAAAACGAGGTCGCGGCCATTTTAAACCACGCGAAGGCACAGCGGTGTTCGACGCCTAATCTATGGAACTGAAAACTGATACAGTTTTGCGCGAACACCGCTGAAGCCGCCGACCTCCCTTCTTGTTCGGTAGAAGTGCACGAACGGCCCTATATTCGGTAGTTGTACCTGACTACACCATACCCCAGATAGGAATCCCATGGAGCTCATTCGTATGAGAACTGACTTTGTGAACACTTTGGCTCCATGGCGATTGAACTGTATTCGTGTAGTCTGAGCGCCATTCGCTTAATAATGTGCGCTCAGACCTGAGCTATCTGGGGATATGTTAAATGTATATCTTTACTGTAACCGTTCCAACATGGGGGATTTTAACAGTAATTTCTATATTAGTATCCCCACTTGCATAATGGCAATTTGCCTTTATCCTGGGAGATAATTGAATTACTTCTCAATTATCTCCAGGGCAGAGGGGAGGAAGCCAGGATGCATTGTGGGAATATAATGTGACTGTGTGTCCTAGATTGCTGATTGACTGTCTTTTGTCAAAGTCTCCCATTTGGTCCCTTAGGGGAGTGTCCACCAGGTGGGAGACCTGCATAAATACTGGGCAGGTAGCCCTCATTATAACAGACCACTGCTTGACCCCCAACACGGAGCTCTGTCTCGTCTTTGGGGGGGTTTACTGTATGCTGTTAGAGACTGATTGCCAGGAGTGTAAGCCGCTTAGGTGCTTTTCCTGTTCGTCTGCTAGCAGCTATTCGTGAGGTTCCAGTTCGGGAGTTTGGAGTGCTACTTGGTATCCAGTTTGGAGCATTCCCTTGTATGCAGTTCGGGAGTTTGGTGTTCTGCAGTAGTTGTGCCTGCATCTCTGGAAGGGGAAGATCTTCTAAATGTCGGTTTAACCCTTTTATGCTGAGGGTGCCGTTACACGACTTAGTCACGTTCTCCCCCCTCCTATGTACTTACTGGTTGCCGCATTCCCCCGCCGGCGATCGGTCTTCTTCTTTGGAGGAACTCTCTGGACTGAGCCCAGAGAGTCCCCCCTCTCCAATTTAGGACCCCTAGGGGCCATGTGATCGCTCTAAAAGAGCAATCACATGGCCCCCATAGATGTCCATTGTGCTGCCAGCAGGGGGACTGCCTGAATTGACAGGCAGTCCCCCTGCTGGTGGAAAAAGTAAAAAAAAATAAAAATAAAAAGTTAAAATAAAGTTAATATAAGTTTTTTAAAAATATATGTGTGAGTGTGTGTATATATATATATATATTGTATTTGAAATCGATGACGCATTCACGTATACAGGCGTCGCAACCCGGAAGTGGAGGAGGACTAAGAGGTGGATGCGGCGCAAATTTGCCGCTTAGAATTTTGTATATAAATCATTTTTAATTTTTTTAACAGACTGCAGGGGCCTTCGAAGGGACGTGGGTGTCCCGAGCGCGCAGCCCAAGCACTGTTTACTTTCTCCAGTTTGACGCACACGGACAACACTGTCGGTTGGAGCTGCAGCAGAAACTAGACGGGTTAAACAGCTAACCGGCTGACATACAGTTACCCTCTACAGTAACTACCTATTTTCAACAAATCCTCCAGTCACTTCAATGGCTACATACAATAAGGACATTCCAGTTGGTGAGATCCACCTATTTATCGCTATAGTGCACTATATAATCCCTTTTTTTGGACTATTGTACATAAGGACTTTATTTTTCATTATTTCTTTATTTTTTAATTTTTTCACTTTTTGCCATTTTTTCTTACTTTTTATCTTTTTTCATTTTTTTTATTATTTGTTTCTACTTTTACTTTTTTTCTATGTACATAGACAACAGCAGGTTCTACTACTACCCTTTTTGGATACTTTGCCTTTAGATAACTAGCGAGATCATAACCATCTGTGTACATATTTCTATACCATGAATTTATATAACATCCATGGAGGTTATTTTGTAAATAGCTATTGAACATATGATGAAATGAGTGTTATTCTATTTATCTATTATATTTTCTTATATATAGTAACTATTTATGAATTTGATAGTGAGTTGAGAGCACAATAAATTAATTGCATTATCTTCAACATTTTTTCTGATTATTTTCTGATATTGAGTGCGGTATTCATATTAATTTTTTGAATGATTATTATGAGGCTTCATTAGGGTTAACCTCGAATACCTGCACCGTTAATGTGATTGAGTGCCAGCACATGTTATATTTTTGTGTGTATATATATATATATATATATATATATATATATATATATATATATATATCTCTATTTATCTATCTCTATCAGGTCTTACCTGAATGGGAGTCTGTAGCGCAGAGATATGTGCTTACCCTTGCAAGTAAACACAGGCCAAGGTGGTCAGGTAAGAATTCACCTGGCCTGTGAGTCGGTGCATGGGGGCTGTGCAGGATGATGCTCCAAGTCGCAGTGCAGATACGGACATAAACAGGAGAATCGTCGTAAGTAAGCTAAAGGTCAGTGGGTGCCAGAAATCAGGATAAACCAGTAGAGAGCCGAGGTCAGAGGATGCCAGAAGTCAGGGTAAACAAAATAACAAGTCAAGGTGAGGAATCAACAAGAGAACACTGGAACATGAAACAGCAATACTTGAACCAGAGTCAATGAACTGACACTGCCCTCAGGGAGAGGCAGTGTCTTATACCTGGCTAATGAGGCCATCAGCTTCAGATGTGCTTGAGAATGAAGGAGCAGCCACAGAATAACGTCCAGCCCCCAGTGCTGGATACAAGGCAAGATAGACTTCTGGCTATTTCTTGAGCTGAATGGTGGCTCAGAGGCAAAATAGCAGCCCCAGGGCTGCAAAGTACCCAGGTTCAAATCCCTTGCTTGGGGCAACCTCGTCTGGCATGTTGCAGTGAGAACTGTGACAGTACCCCCCCTTCATGAACGCCCTCCAGGCGTGAAAAAATTCCTCTTGGAAATAGTAGTCATCTCACAATCAGAAGTCAAGGAAGTCCTTATAATCGAAGTCCCCACAGCGGGGTCCCTGAACAGTATGGGACTCCATAGTACTAACTTTTTGGTACCGCTGGAGATAGGTCAATGTCTTTGAGGATCTGGTTACAGGTGGTAAGTACTTATATTACCTTAATAGGAGTTGAGTTTGTGGCTTGCAATGCCATCTTGAAACTTTGTAAGTCCTCTTTTCGGATTATGCTACCATTAGAGGCATAGATACAGTCCGAAGGTAATTCTTCTTTAAGCTGGCAGGAAGAAGTGGTACTAATAGAAGTATCTTCAGGAGGAGGTGCGTATGTCTCAGGGGTACAGGTTTTGTTGTTTATCATAGTCTGGGTACCCTTTTGTGTCCTGGAACGTGCGCAGGTCTGGCAGCACCCTTGGTGTTTTCCAGGCTGTGTTGCGGGGATGACAGGATGAGTCCATAGGGTACACAACAGAAGAGTTTGTGGCCTAGGTGGACGAGTTGGGCAGAGAGAGATGAAATGCCCTCTTTCTCCACAGTACAAACACAGGCCATGGACTCTCCTACAGTCTCTTTCCTTAGGAGGCAACCTAGTTCGGGTAAACCCGATCTCCATAGGTTCCTCCCTGTCCAGTGGGGCTGTGCAGGATGATGCTCCAAGTCACAGTGCAGATACGGACATAAACAGGAGAATCGTCGTTGGTAAGCCAAAGGTCAGTGGGTGCCAGAAATCAGGATAAACCAGTAGAGAGCCGAGGTCAGAGGATGCCAGAAGTCAGGGTACATGAAATAACAAGCTGTAAAATGTAGTTTGGAACAATAATGTTGACGTTGAATCTTCTTAATGTCTTCTTCTCTTCAGTTGATATATATACGTCTTTTGTATATATAGTCTTGGGCCAAATTTGCTCGCACCATTAATATATGTCTATATTAATGAAAAGTACTAATACGCAATCTGGCTTACGTTTTTTTCAGGTTTATTCTTAGTTACTGATACATAATAAAACAACAAAGGATGTTACAGGATAATGAATTTCAACAGCAGATGGTAATTGCTGGACTCCTGATAGGAGAGTTACATCTTGTACAGGAAAGAGAGCCAAGAGCCAAGAGCCCTCGTGTTTCTTTGTTCAGTTACTATATAGAAGTGCCCATACTGACGTCAGAGCATAACTCTATCCATATAAGGACAAAAACCCCAAATACACATTCAAGAGCTCTCGGACACAGAAAGCATTGTGACTTATACCATCTGTTACTTATGTCAATCCAGACATCCATATATAATGAATAGAAACATAGAATATGCAATATTCTACATTCCCTCTGTTTATGGTTTGTTTTAAAACCATAACACAATGTCACTAACCTGTCCATTCATATATCATTCATATCACATTCATTGAGCATAGAACAAGATGTAGTCACAACTTTCTATTATATGAGAGTTCTTAGAAGTTAGAGTTTCTATCCTAGAGTGAGGAAGGGGGTGACACAATGACAGAGTGAGGGAGGGGGTGACTAGTGACAGAGTGAAGGAGGTGGTGACTGTCACTAGTCACCCCATACCTCCCTCTGTCACTAACCACCTCCCTCACTCTGTCACTAGTCACCCCTTCCCTCCCTCACTCTGTCACTAGTCACCCCCTCCCTCTCTCTGTCACTAGTCACCCCCTTCCTCACTGTCACTAGTCACCCCCTCCCTCTCTCTGTCACTAGTCACACCCTCCCTCTCTCTGTCACTAGTCACACCCTCCCTCACTCTGTCACTAGAGTGAGGGGGTGACTAGTGACAAAGTGAGGGGGTGACTAGTGACAAAGTGAGGGGGTGACAGGTGACAGAGTGAGGGAAGGGGGTGACTAGTGACAGAGAGAGGGAGGGGGTGACTAGTGACAGAGTGAGGACCCAAGATTCCCACCTCCCCTTCCCCCCCCCTTAAAAAATAAAATACACTCCTATGCATATAGTGCAGTGCAGGGTGTGTATAATGAATGTAGTGTGTTTGTAGTGAATGCAGAGTATGAATAATAAATGTAGTGTGTTTGTAGTGAGTGCAGTGTGAATAATAATTGTAGTGTATTTGTAGTGAGTGCAGAGTGTGTATAATGAATGCAGTGTGTTTTTAGTGAGTGCAGAGTGTGTATAATGAATGTAGTGTATTTGTAGTGAATGCAGTGTGTATAATAAATGTAGTGTATTTGTAGTGAGTGCAGTGTGTATAATAAATGTAGTGTGTTTGTAGTGAGTGCAGTGTGTATAGTGAATGTAGTGTTTTTGTAGTGAGTGCAGAGTGTGTATAATGCAGAGTGTGTATAGTGAATGTAGTGTGTTTGTAGTGAGTGCAGAGTGTGTATAATGAATGTAGTGTGTTTGTAGTAAGTGCAAATTGTGTATAATGAATTTAGTGTGTTTTAGTGAGTGCAGAGTGTGTACAATGAATGCAGTGTGTGTAGTGTGTTTGTAGTGAATGCAGAGTGTGTATAGTGAATGTAGTGTGTAGTGAGTGCAGAATGTGTATAACGAATGCAGAGTGTGTATAGTGAATGTAGTGTGTTTGTAGTGAGTGAAGAGTGTGTATAATGAATGCAGTGTGTGGATGATGTGTGTGTGAGTGCTGGATGATGTGTGTGTGAGTGCAGGATGATGTGTGTGTGAGTGCAGGATGATGTGTGTGTGTGAGTGCTGTATGATGTGTGAGTGCTGGATGATGTGTGTGTGCTGGATGATGTGTGTGTGTGTGTGCTGGATGATGTGTGTGTGTGTGTG